TCCCATTCTCCTCCGTTCTCTTCATTTTCCTTTGTCTAAGTCAATGAACTTCTATACTTCCTCTCTCTACCCTCTCTTGTTATGGGCTAGCATCCACATATCAGAGAGAATATTCAACTATTGTTTTTTTTTGGGGGGTCTGGTTTATTTCACTTAGCATGATATTCTCCAGTTCTATCCATTTACCAGCAAATGCTATGATTTCATTCTTCTTAAAGGCTGAGTAATATTCCATTGTATGTATGTACCACATTTTCTTTATTGATTCATCTGTTGAAGAACACATAGTTTTGTTCCATAGTCTAGCTATTGTGAATTGAGCTGCTATAAACATTGATGTAGCTGTGTCACTGTGCTGATTTTAAGACCTTTGGGTATAAGCACAGGAGTGGGATAACTGGGTCAAATGGTGGTTTCAATGCAAGTGTTCTAAGGAATACCCATACTACTTTCCAGAGTGGTTGGACAAAATTGCAGTCCCACCAGCAATGTATCAGTGTACCTTCTTCCCAATATCCTTGCCAACATTTATTGTTCCTTGTATTATTGACAATTGCCCCTGGGGTTACAGGCATACACTAACATGCCTGGGTGGTACACCACCATGACCAGTCTCTTAACATCTTTTCTCCATGGTCAACTTTGTTTTCAAGATTATATATTTCATCTTCATTGCTGTCTTCCAAAGGTCTATTCTGTTGGTGATGCTTTCCATTGAACTCTTAATTTGATTTATTGATTCCTTCATTTCAAGGCTTTCTGCTTGATTTTCTTTCAGAATCTCTATATGTTCATTGAAGTGATCTTTCAATTTCCATATTTTGTTTCTGATTTCACACCTTACATTGCCCTTTATTTTGCAGATCAGTTTGACTATGTTTATTTTAAATTCCATCTCTGACATTTCTTCCACTGTGGTGTCATTAGAATCTGTTATTAAAGTATTCTTTGTTTGTTTGGGGTGATTTGTTACCCTGATTTTTCATGTTATTTGTGTGTCTACTCATCTATCTGGATGGATCTGATGATGTAGAGTTTCTATGTTATGGATTTATACTGTTCTTCTATGTTACTAGTATCTCACAGATTGGGGGGAGTCCCTTATAGCAATGAGTTATGCAAACGATATATAGCAGTAGACTAGATCCTTAATTCCTATTTTAATATCTAGTGTTAATTTGTACAATACGTTGACAGTGGAATCCTGAATTTCCAAAAGTAAAAATAGTATATAGTCATGTATTATGGCTGGCTTAAAATCAAACAATAGGTGCTGTCCATGGCTTCTGCTGTATTAATTATTGATGTGACATTGGTGGTAAGGGGAGATGTTCTATACCTCAGTTAGTGTTAGGAAGTGTTAGGGATAGAGTTTAGTACATGTAAAGAATAAGAGATAGGAGGATAGAAAAAATGTTTGTAATTTCAAAGGGTGAATAGGGATGATGCAGTGGTAACTTAGGATATGTTGTTGGCTTGGAAGGGTACCAAAAAATAGAAGAATATAAAGGAGGAGAGAGAGAGAGAATGGAATTTAGTGTCAAGAATGTAGAAATGAGAAGGGGAGACAAGGGTGATAGTCTTGATAAAGATGATACAGAACAAAATCAAAATAAGCTAATCATAACCCCTAACCTCAAAATACAGAGCATGGGAAAATAACTCCTTTTGGGGAAAAAAACAATAAAACAACAACAACAACAAAATCTACAACAACAACAGACACCCTCCCCAAAAAATGAATGAAATAACAACAATAAAAACAAAAACAAAGCTAGAAATGAGGAGAGAGAGAAACAAAAATGATTATGCATAGGAGTTCTTGAATCAGTCACTACACATTTAAATACAAGAAAAATCCAATATGGAAACCTTAAATCAGAAAGCAAAACAGAACTACTGCCACAATAAACAAGCCACAACAGCAACAACAAGAACAAAAAAAGAAAAATCTTGGTGAAATATTAAGAAATTAAGGAGTCGTATCCACTGTGGTGGGCAAAATAGTGAGTGTATGTGTGCACTGACTGTGCCCACTTGGTTTTCTTTTTGTCTCCTCTTCAAGTATGATCTATGGGCTGTGGGTTGTGTGTCTTTCCTTTTTATTGTGTTGCTCACCGTATTGAAGGTTGGGGTTTAATACTTCCTAATTCCCCTTCTTGGGAGTTTATTGTGGGCAGGCTAGGCTGCAGACCTGGAGGCAGAGTGGAATGCTGGGAAAGCTGAATTACAGGCTGGCAGCAAAGCAGCTAGCCATCTCCGTGAGGCAGGTGGATCAGGGCCTAGTGCTTGATCCTGGGGACTGGCCAGTCATGAAACTTCATGCTGGACCAGGTGGGTCTTTTGGCAAAGCAGCTGGGTGGATCAAGGCTGGCCCCAGGACCTGCAGGCTAGCCACAAAATTGCAAGCAATGTGCCAGGTCAGGGGCCAGGGAGAAGTTGGGAGACTAGGGAGCTTGAAGGCCCTATTGGGTACCAAACTGATGCCGGACCTGGTGGGTTCCAGGAACTAGTGGATACTGAACTGGGGAGGGAGTCAGGGACTTGGCTGGTGCTGGGACCCCATGAGTGCCAGTCTAGGTGAGCCACAGGAACCTGGTACATACTGGACCTGTTGGTTGCACAAGCTGAGAGCAAAATGCCCTAATGCCCTCTTACAACCATCTGACTCACTATAGCCAGCCCTGTCAATCCTCACCAGCCTCAGAACTCACAGAGCTGGGGAGAGCCCTATTCTCTCCAGCCTCTCTAACCTGTGTTCCCTTAGGTGGTATGTTCCCAGTTTCTGACTTTCCACAGGTTTGCTAGGCTTACACAGGCCTACACAGGCCTACACAGACCTAGCTGCAAACTCATGGGTCTGGGTTTCCAGTTTCCATAGGTTACACTGGCTGGTGTAGAGGTTTTTGTTTTGTTTTTATCTGATTAATGAGTCAAACAGTCTCTGAATCCCTCCAGTCTCAGGATTTTTTAATCTAAGCCTGTGGGAGATGTGGTATTCTCACAGTTTCAGTTCTGGGTAGCCCCTTACAAGAGAAATGCTTCCTCACGCTAATCTGCCATCTTGCCTCTCTGTGTTTGTACATTTTCTGTAGTATATGCTCCCTGAAAGAATGTGGCTAAGTAAATTTTGGTTATTCTTTAAAAATTTTTCTGTAAGTGCATCATAGTTATACATAATAGCATGGTTCATTTTGACATATTCATAAGTGTGTAGAACATGATTTCCTGCATTTCAATCCCCAGTACTTCCTCTTTCCTTTCCTTCTTCCCTTTTCCTAATCCTCTTCCTCTACCTTGTTGGTCTTACTTCTATTTATTTATTGTTTTTAATTGGAGCATTATAGCTATACTATAAAAGTGGAATTGTGATATATACATGCAAGCACATAACATAATTTGGTTAATTTCATTCTTCAGTTTTTCTCCCTCCCCTTCAACCATCTTTCTCTACCCTACTTTTCTCCCTTCTGTTTTCATGAGATCCATTCTTTATTTTTGGTCACAGTGGCACATATCTGCAATCCCAGTTACTTGGGAGGCTGAGTAAGGCAAGATGATTGCATTTTTGAGGTCAGATTTGGCAATTTAGTGAGCTCTTAAGCAACTTAGTGATACAATGTCTCAAAATAAAATAAAGTAAATAAGTAAATGGGACTGGGAATGTGGCTCAGTGGTAAAGCCTCCCTGGGTTCAATCCCATGAATCAAAAATAATAAATAAATAAATTACTTATTTCTCTCTTGCTTTCACATATAAGAGAAAACATTCAACCCTTGAATTTCTGTATTTGGCTTATTTGGCTTAGCATGATGTTCTTTAGTTCTATTGGTAAATGACACAATTTCCTTCCTTCTTATGGCATTTTATATGTTGATTATTCTTTGCTCTAAAGAACATCTAAAATTGAATGTTATAATCTTCAGTTAACTAGTATTACAAGAGAATGTAAACCAACAGTTTTTCTGTTTTTTTTTTTTTTTTTTTTTTTTTTTGCCCTTGGAAAGAAATTTATTTTCATTAATTATTTAGCATTTTACAAATAGGAAGTGATAGTGCTTCTTTGTTTGTTATTTTGGTAGTTATCTTTTGTAGTATTGTCCACAAGCTGGCTTTTAAACAAACAGTCAGGGATATGTGATATAAAGTATTCTTATGAAAACACAAGAGACTAGTGTAAGCAGAACAGAGAATGAATCACCACAAATAAATGACATTTAAATCAAAGTCCCAGGCTCACCCTGATCTTTTGGTATTCGGAGGAACTAGGGTGACACCAGTTTTGTTTTTGTCCTCCCACCCCCAATTATTTTTTTTTTTTCCCTATTTAAGGCAAAGGAGCTGGGATTTGAAAAGCCCATACCACACAGCCATTGCTTATGGGCATTCCCTAAGGAACCTAAACTTCCAGGCTCTTCTAGTTTTAAGCAGCTTTAGTAGCCTAAGGGAAGTTCTCTGAAGAAAGTTATACTGTGTCCACTCAGAGAACAGGAGCATAGCACAAGTATATAATATCTTAGATGATAAGGGCTTAAGGGCAGAACTTCCACAGCATTTGCTTTTCTCTTTTATCTCACCTTTCTATATTCATAGTTAAAACAAAAACTAACAATTTTTTCCATAATGGCAGTGATAATGGTGTCTTTGGGTAAACAATGTTATTTAATCTAAACAATTATTACTTTGAATAAATTAACTCGGGGTCCACTTCAACTCTAAAATGACCCAAATCTGTGTTTATGTACCTGCATAGTGACAATCTATATTCTAGAACACACTTGACAGTGGAATTTACAATCTTTGTTAAAACTTTAAAAATAAAAGTTTTCAAACCTTTTTAAGATAGATATGTTGTTAATAAACACAAAGGCAGTGGGAAGAAAAAGATGAATAATTTGTGTCAACATCATTAAAGGAATCGGGGATACTTAGAAATATTTCACTGTATTTACTGCTTGTGAAAATTTTATTTTATTGAAATATAATGTTTTCACTTTTAGGTTTTCACTTCCAGTTACAGCAACAGCAGAAAACTGTATTCTTACTATATATCCATATTTGGCAATTCATCTTGATAAGCAAAAAATTATTTTAAAGGATGGTAAGTTGCTTATGATTGTTTTCTCTCTAACTCATTGTATAGATTCTTGTTATCCAGGACCAATATCTAGATATAGAGTGAATTTTAAATTAACAGGTGTTTATTAAACAGCTGCTATTGCCAGGACTTGTGTTTCTTATCAGTAGTAGAATATGACAGTGTCTCTTGATTCTAAAAGTTAACAATCTAATAAAAGATACATAAATAAATTATTTACTAAGAATATTTAATTAAGGACTTTATATATGAGCCAGTTGAAGTGTTGGGCATGTGGAGATGGTACAGAGATTATTGCTGATGTTGGGGTTCTGGAATGATTTATAGAAGAGATGACATTCATGTAGAGCTTGACAAATGATGATCTTGACCAGGATGGTTTGTGCAAACAGTGAAATAGCAAAAACATAGGGTTGTAATGGGAGACATAAGGCATGAGATGGAGGTGCAGGGCCATACTGTTTAGCCCTTTATTTTATAGTTCTGGGAACATTCTGTGGATTTTTGAATATCAATGATTTATAAAGGGAGCAGTTGCTGGGATATATTCATATAAAATAAATTAAGGTAGCATAGAGAATAGTCAGTAGAACAGCTGAGATTGCTGCAGGAGAGATTGTGAGAAAAGCTAAGATCAAAGGTACATAATTACAAATTGAAAGCAGGAATAAATTTCAGATCAGTTGTCAGAAAGGTTACTGTAGTTAATAATTACACATTGTGTTCTTAAAAAATGTAAAGAAAGTGGTGGATATAATGTGTTCTCATCACAAAATTGATAACTATATGAGATAATGTATTTATAAATTAGCTAGATATAACCATTTCACAATGTATGCTTCAAAATAACAGGGTGGACACAATAAATATAGAAAATTATCTGTCAATTAAAATTAATTAATTAATTAGAGCTGAGCATATGGCTCAGTGGTAATTTCCTAGCATGTGTGAGGCTCTTGGTTTAATCCTCAGCAAAAATATAAACAAAGAAACAAATAAAAAACAATTAATGAATTAATTAAAAAGAATAAGGAAAAGAAAAAAAAGCAAAAAAGTAATAGAAAAAAAAGTTAGTGAATAGGGAGAAATTGAAATGAAAGACACAGAAGAGAACAAATGATGGAGTAAGTCCCAGAGAAGAGAAAAGGTGAAGCATGCGGGGAAAAACTCCATCTTAGTAGTCTGTCAAGTCCTTAATTTTTAGTGCTGAGTTGGAGGGGCTTTTCGGTGTTTTAACCAGTTTTCTCATTTTCTCCACTTGCTTCTTCAAACATTTACCAATCTGATGAAACCCATTCAATCTGTTCTATCTCAGTATCAGAGAATGCCATTTTTCTTACTGTTGAAAAGAGATAGAGACCATCAGACAATAACGCTCTGAAGTTCCAAATACCAAGCGTGTGCTGGAACCCATCATACCTCCTTTTCCTCTAGTCACAAGGACAGAAGCCAGTATGCAGGCCCTTCCTTTATCTAAATCTCATTACCCAGAAACTCTACTATATCGAATAACCTTGCTTATACTTGCTTGTCAATTTTTGCCTCCCTCTTATGTACTTTAGTTCAGTTTCCAGGAAGTCAGCAGGGAGGAGAAGGGAGACTATATATTTTTAGGAAAATTCCAAGGAGTAAGTAAACAGAGCAGATTTAGACCACGTATTCCTTACTTATTCCTTATTTCCCAATCTTATTGTCAATTAACTTCCTAGAGATAGGGAGAAAAGTAGCAGAGGAAAGTAAGCAATTAGAGTACCTCACCTCCTTTTAACAGGAAATGAATTTTAGGAGTGATCAAGAAGCATTATTTGCCTACTGGGCATGTCTAAGAGTGTTGATTATTCCCCACTTCTCTTTCTTGAGACTATCTCTGGGCTTCTACATGCCATACTTCTCTGGGTTTTCTCTAACTTAAGACTATTCCTTCCAAGCATCTTTCATGAATTCTTCTTCCTCTCTCTGTATTTTTTAATTCTTTGCATCTGTTGGAGTTCTGACCCCTCTTCTCCCTTCTATGGCTTCAATTATAATACATGGGATATATCTCCAATGCTAATCCCTTTCAGAGATTCAGGAATTCAGAATTCAACTGAATTCTGGATGCCTCTCATTGTATTCCCACAGGCCTCCCCCAAACAGCATGACCCAAACTAAACTCCCCTTTCTGGAATTTTCTCATCCTTCTGTATATCCTACTTCTGTAGATTTACCTACAACAGATTAGGTAGGTCCTTATCCAGATACTAAACTGTCATCCTTAATGATGTCATCTCTCTATCATACTACACCTCCAGTCCAACAAATCCTATTCCTTTGCCTTCTAAATTCCTCTCAAATCATCTCACTTCTTTCTCTCTCCAGTGACAGTACATACATTCAAGTTCCTGTAATGTCTTCTTAGGATCAATGCAGATTTCTAAACTATTCTCCTGCTTCCTCTGAAGACCCCATATAGCATTACCCTACACAATGACCTTATTCTCATTCCAGACAACTTTCCCTTTATGCTCAAGCCACAATAAACTTCTTTAAGTTTTTCTAGCATCCAGATCTTACTAATAATCTTTCCTATCTGGAGCATTTTTCTACAAAACTCTACATCATCTGCATACCTAAAATCATTCCTGCCTCTACAAGCAAGGGTTTTGCATTCTCTGGTAAATGTTCATAGTTTTGAGCAATTTCCATCACTGCCCTTAACACATTTTTACTTAATATGCCTATTACCTATATCCCTTTCTAGATATTGTTATCTATAAGGCATTGAGAATAGGAATCATTTCTCTCCTTTTCACTCTTGTATCCACAATGCCTCACACAGTGTGTGGTAGATAAAAGGTATTTATTCATATTACAGAATGGGTCATCTGAATTATAGAACATCAGAAAGGCATCTCTTAGCTATACATTTTCATAAGAGAGTGGCTATATGTGTAATAGTGTCTTCTGAGCATAAAAAAATCATTGAAAGCAGTTTATGGAATTATCTAATTGGCAGTATGAAGAGAAAGACAAAGATCTCAGAATTTTGACATATTGTCAAAATTTAAAAGATTTTTCTGACTAATTCTAATATGTTATATTTTTATATTCTTCTAATGTACTGGGGTATGAGAGAATTTCTAGAATGCAATATAAAGGAATAGGAATGGGTTCAGACTCACACAACCTGGAGAGAAATTCTCTTTTGTGTTTTAAACTCATTATTTTGCCATATGATTTTATTTTTAATTCTCAGGTGCTCAAATTTATCATCTTTCATTAAACAACATGTATATATAAGATGATAGCAGGATATTAATAATATGTGTTTTATCTATTCAAAGGGCTTTTGTGATAACTCATAGACTATAAATACCTAGAAGGTATTATTTTTACTATGGTTTCATTACTACTGCTATTATCACTGATGGTGATTGCTTTATCACTTTTGTATTTTTATAATATCCTATAAAAATGAGTAATTGCTATATAATTGGTAATATTGTTACAGCTTTAAAAGAAAAAAATGAATAAATTCTTTGTGTTTCTTTGATGATTGAACATGAAATGCATGGACTAAAAAATAATACATCCATTTGGGGAAATATTTGTAGAAGTATGTATAATAATTTCTAGTATATATTTAATGCTTTCCAGGTATGTGGTGTTCTGCTACTTTCCTTGCATTTGTTACATAATTTAGTCCTCCCCAAAATTCTAAGTTAGATACCCTTATAGATCTCACTTTACAGATTAAGAAGGTGACTAATGGAGAGGCTGAGAAGCTTGTATCCAAGTTTGTGAGACTTCAGAACATACATATTTAGCTCCTGTGCTCTATAAGATGGCATGCCCAATAAAGGTGAAATCTTAAATTAAGTATATCCCTAAAGCGAGGCAGTATAATTAATTGGTTACTGCTTATATGCTAGATTTAAACAGAATGATGTGAACAAATGACTTTGGTTGAAAGGATGGAATTGGGGCTTTGTACTCACTGTAGGAACTTTTTATCATTTGATAAATTTAAAACATTTCCTAATGCAACTTCAAATAGTTTTATCACCGAACTATCTAAAAGTTACTCCTACGTAGACTATCATGGCATAGCTTTCTGGAGAATATTGAATGTAAAATAGTTAAAAATGTCTTATGAGATTCTGTAACACACACACACACACACATATAGTTGTATATTCTGATGTGTGGACTTACATAAACATGTACTGGCTTTGATCAGCACTGCCTTTGGTTGGTTGAGATTTCTGCTTTGCAAACCCCCTCTCTAAATATACATAGTAAATCTAGCAGGAAGATACATTAAATTTGTTTATCAGCTCATAACCAAGCAGTGATTTCACTTGAGTGAGTTAACTAGGAAAAAAATTACTTTTGTTAGTAATACTTTTCTTTTATCTTTTTTTGAACATCATATGTAATAATTCCATTTTGGGGGTATTGAAAATTTAAAATGTTTTACATATTTTTATTTATCCTAAAGTTGAATATTGTTTATTCTGCAATAACTTTGATATACTATAATAATTGCTTTATCAAATAAATTTTAGTTTAGAAAGTCATTATCAATATTAACTTTTTGTCATCTTATTTGAAGTATAATAAATATTTTAGACTTTTTTCTATTATTTTTATATAAATATGAAATTCAGGTTAAGTAATTTGCTGGTGAATTCCATGAATGTTTATTTTACTTACTATTGCCCAATGTGTCACTTGTAGATAAAGATGGAAATCCTATGAAGTCTAGAGGCAGTTTTATGTTTCCCCACCAGGATGTCGAATTACCCTCTTCTGCTTCAATAAATATGACATCCACTGCTACTAAATTTAATGATGCTGAACTTACAAGTGGAAACTTATTTGTTGGTATGTAGCAAATATAGTGTATTTCTCAAATTTAGTCCTTGATGTGGTCTGCTTAATATCTTTTAATTTAAAAGTTAGTTCTTTTCTAGTAAGAAATCCATGGATTTGTCAGTAGTTTTAAGTAGGTCATCTGCTTCAAGAGATCTCTCCAATGAGCAATGGCAGAAACTCTCTTGATTTGCAACACCTCTAGTATTTAAATACATTTCCCTAGGCCAAAAAAGTAAAATTAGTTGCATTTATTAACTGGTTTAGTACAAAAAACCTTGAGAGTAGTTGCTTATGTATGCTGCCTAACAGATGTTTCAGTAATATTTAACAAACAAGCAAAATATCCAGTGGATGTTCTGTAAATTTTTTGTGACATTATAGGAGACCTCTGTACAGAGTTTGGGAACTGCAGAACTATGGTTTTGTCATTTCATTATCTAGGTGGACCCATGGTTAAACCATCTTTTAAAAAGTGAACACTGCTAAATATGCATTTGATATTACTTGCAATTAAAAGCGCAAATATTTCTTTCCCTAGATATGGGTAATAATTGAAACTTTTTCTTTTTATTGAATGAACCAAACCAACTTAAATAGTATGAAGATAGTTTCCAATTGGCTTGCTTTTGTGTCATGTAATAGGCAGATTTTTTTTAAAGAGAGAGAGAGAGAGAGAGAGAGAGAGAGAGAGAGAGAGAGAGAGAGGATTTTTTTTTAATATTTATTTTTTAGTTTTTCGGCGGACACAACATCTTTGTATGTGGTGCTGAGGATCGAACCCAGGCTGCACGCATGCCAGGCAAGCGCGCTACCGCTTGAGCCACATCCCCAGCCCGGCAGATATTTTTAAAAAGAAAATTGATAATATCATTCTATATTTTTGAAATTTTCTATAATTCAAAAAGTATTTTGTTTTATTTAAATACTTAATTTAAAGAGAACACCATTTTGAATCTGAAATCAATATTTTTGTTTCTATAATTCTTTCAGCTGAAGTTTAGTTTTGTCTAATAAACAAAGGTAAAGAATTGTCAAGACATTTTTCTTATGAAGTTAGAAGTAAAAGCCTCCACTTTGGGAATATTTTCATATACCATTAAGGCAAAAAGAAAATAGAATTGTTTCCTTTTGAAATTCATAAATTTTAAAAACATTATTTGAGTATTTGAATGTAAGTATATTCTTATTATTTATTTTGCAATATAGTAAATTGACTCAGAGGAATAGATACAGCTGTAAGAATATTTTGCTCTGTTGTCAAGTAATCATTTTTATAAACAAATGTGAATTTTAGGAATGGACACATTACAAGAAGATTTGGACTTTGATGAAAGCAAAACACCAAAAATGGCAGATGATGGAAAGGAGGAGAAAAATGAGCAATTCTTTTCTCTGGAAGAAGGATCAAAGGCATATAACTTCTTTCAGAAGGTTGTAAATGCAGCCCAGACATGGTTCAGTCTCTTTGGCTGGCCTGAAGGACCTCATTCTCTTTCCATTCCAGAGACTATAAGAAGGTGATAGTTATGTTTCTCTAAATTTCTTTCTTCATATCATATTCTGAAATATGATCTGTTTATTGGGTTAATTTTAAGTGAAATGAAATATTAAATTATTGGTAAGCTGTTAAAAGTGATAAGTTATAAAGAGGCTAGAAAGAAGAGTAAAAAATGGAAATATAAATTCTTTAGGCTACATATAATATAATTTTAAATTTCTTCTAAATATCTGATAATTTTAGGAAAGTACTGAAAAATCACTGGACCTCAGTTTCCTGATGTGTGAATTAAGAAGGGTAAACTATGAGTAGAAAAAGTCCTTTTAAATTAAAAAAAATTAGGAAATCATACATTTTAATATAAATAAGCTATCAGTTCTAGATCCAGAGTATAGTTTGGTATACAGATGGTAGTATTTAAAAAAAATTTTTTTTTGAGTTGTAGATGGATATGATACTTTTATTTATTTATTTATTTTTATGTGGTGCTAGGATCCAACCCAGGGTCTCACATGTTCCAGGGGAGTGCTCTACTGCTTACCATAATCCCGACCCTTAGATGGCAGTATTAGTGAACAAGGCCAGATTTCCTTTAACACTGTCTCCTCTTTGACAACACATTTACATTCCTCCTTTCAAGTGTTTTATTACTCAACATGTCTAAAATTGTTAAAATTCTTCAGTTTTATCAAATTACTAACCTCTGCTGTTCATTTAAACAAGCATTTGGGCACCTCCCTTGTTTCAGTGTTGCTGATATAATGGAACCTCAGAACACTTTTTTGCCTCCTTTCTCAGCACTTGCAGGTTTAACTAAATCTATAATAATTTTCCAATATGTTATTGCTTTTCTTTTTTTTAATGGACAATTTCACTGACTTAATTGATGAATATTTCTTTATGCTGTGGGGAAAATTAATGCAACAGAAACTGAAAATTTCCATATTTGATCATAAAATCAACTGGCTAGAGGGAATTTTTCAGAAACTTTTCAGTTTTTTTGCTTTGGTGTTTGTTTCACTAAACATTTTACCTGAGTTAAAAATTTAAAGTCATTATACCTTAATGATTCATTTTCATTTTGGGGAAAAGCATTGATTAAGCATTTAAAAATTATTATTCATCACTTGTGACTAGTGTTTCTGTTTTAAAATTCTCCTTTATGAAATTTTAGTCTGATCTTAATTTAAAATTATAATTTTATTTTTTCTTCATTTTAGGTTTTATCAATTTATTTATTTATATATTTGGTCTCATATAAGTTCTTGGATAAATTTATCCATTTCTGTGTTTCTTAAATCACGTGATGCTGTTTTTTTCTTATGATTCATGTTTTCTTTAAATTTGAGTTGTGTTTTTAACTATTTTCAAGCCTAAAAATTTCTCTTTATTCCACTTTGGCTGCAATGCAGAAATTTTACCACTAAGCATTCTAATTTTTGTTGTTTTTATAAGCCTTAGGATTTTGGTTTTAATTTTCTGCATGCCTTTTACTATTATACTGATTGGTAATATATATTATTATAAACATACATCATTATTTACTTGCCAATTCACATTCATCAGGGGGCATTTACTTATGCTATTTCATTATATTTTGTTTGTATAAATAATGCAGAGATGAATACATTTGTTTATGAATAGTAGCAGACATTTTTTGATATTAAATAGAAAATATCTCAGAGGTGATATGATGAGACCAAACAACACACACTTGTAAAAGTCTCTTCAATGCATTCTGAGACAATTTTCTATTAAGCATTCTATATTATTAACCTCACTAATGAGACACATTGAATGGCTGGCTGTTTCCTAATGAAGTTGACTACTGTAACAGTTTAAAATCTTTACTGTACTATTTTGATAAGTGAGAAACAGACCTCATCATTGGGTATTGCCTAGAAAAAGACTATTCTTGATGAGAATGAAGCCTTTCTATTCCTGGGAAGAAAAGCTGCCTACAACCAAAAACTTTGAACAAAGATTAACTTTGTCCAGATAACAAAGTTATTCAAAGCCATTTCTTGATTTGGAATTTCTGGATTATGGGCACTCAGGCTAAGAAGAGTTCTCCAAGTTCATGTATTGTTACCAATATTTGAAAGCCCTTTTCAATGTCTCTTGCATTACTCCATCATGGGGAAGCATTCACTGTTTCTCATGAGAAGTTTCATGTCACATTTGGGGAATGATATGTTCATTCTTTTAGATCTCTTTCATAGTTGCTATTTCTCTGTTATTCTGTAGTTTTGTAATTTATTAGATTAAAATGTCAGCATCAAGTTCTTCATCATCATTCAATATCCTTGGCATTCATTAAGCCCTATGTATTGAAAACTAATTATTTAACCCTTATTTTCTGCCTCCTGTTCTATTATTTGCTTCCCTCTGTTTTCTCTATTCTCTCAATCTCTTATTAGAAGGATAGGGAACTATTTTACTGATCCTTCATTTTGCTCTCAATTACTTTTTGTCTTTCACCTTTCTTGTACTTTAATTTCTTAAGCTTGTAGCATTCTACTTTTTCTGTAAATATTTTAATTAGTACTTATAGTTTTATTTTCCAAACATGCTGTTTTTATTTAATTATTTCCTTTCTCCTTCCCTGATCCCTTATTCTTTTCTCCCTATCCCTTCCCCTTTTTCCTTTTCTTCCCTTCTTCTTTATGTCTTTTTCATAATACCATTCTGTTTTTGAATTATAGATACATGTTTTCTAGAGTAGCTCCTTTACAATATGAGTGTTTTCATCAGTTTTAATTTTCATTGAGTCATATCATCTCTCCTGAGAACTTCATTCTTTTGTATTTTTAATTTGATTTTTGTTCCAGTTGTTAATGGTTTTCCTTAATTATTTCTAGTCTATTTTGATTATCATTCATTCATATATATACATAAAAGATTTGTTTTTTGCTATAAGCAGAGGACAAGGGTTTCTCTGGCTACTCTGAATGTCTGTTTTTCCATGAAATATTTTCCCAAATTAAAAATCAGACAAAAGTTGTTAGAGAGTTGACAATTCATGGTAACATACATACTTTACTAAACCAGACAGAATGCGAAAGTAAGGGGAAATTTAGAACATGGACATCCACTGTAGGTGCCATAAATTTCCCAGATAGCTGGGGGTTGATTTTATTTTGAGAGATCTCCAATTTTTCCTGAAGGCAAAGACTACTTTTGTGTTCTTTACAAGTTTTGTGGAGTAGTATATCATTCCTGGATTTTCCATATATAGCAGTTAACCATAATGATCACTATACCATGTGTGACTTTCTTCTTCTCTGTCAACACTAAAGTTGGAGCCTGTGTTTTGTTCCTCTAGAAAAAGGGTTTATTATTTCCCTTGTAGCATACTGCTATACAGTGTATCAATTCTATTGATCCCTCAATTCAGTTCTATACATTCTCTGTCTAATAGATACCCTTCAAATTTTCTGGTATACTCATGGTCTCTTTCCCAATTTCAATGTTATTATAGGCTTATTCCCTTTCTCCATTTTTCTGACATGTTAGAAATATTTTGAGAAAGAGAGAAGATGAGTGCATGTGTTCAATTTATTTTTCCTGAACAGGGAGTTGCCCTTCCTTCTCAAACATTTCTGTTTCACTCTTCCTATTATCTTCTTTTATCCCATCATAATAACTCATTATTTTAGTTATTGCTTTCATTACTATAATCTAATGATCCATGCACCATTGAATTTACTTTGCAATGTCTGTCTTATTTTCTTCCTTTTAAATATTTTTTGATGAGTTTACTACTAATAATGGGGGGGGGGGCTAAAAACCCTGACATAATGATTAATATAGATTAGGCAAGGAACATTATATATGTTTCATGGGTATTAAATTTATTCTTTTTTAAAAATTTGTTCTTTATAGTTATACATGACAGTAGAGTATATTTTGACATATCATATATAAATGGAGTATAACTTCCCATTTTCGTGGTTGTACATGATGTGAAGTTACACTGGTTATGTATTCATATATGAGCACTGGAAACTTATGTCCAATGCGTTCTGTTTTTTCCCATTCCCCTTCCCCCAATTATACTCTTTTCAATATGGTGAGCCTCTCCTTCGCTCACCCCCATACCCCTAGCCTATTGTGAGTCAGCATCCACATATCAGAGAGAACATTCAGCCTTTGGTTATTTGGGATTGGCTTGTTTCACTTAGCATAATAGTCTCCAGTTCCATCCATTTATGGCAAATGCCATAATTTCATTCTTTATAGCCGAATAACATTCCATTGTGTATATGTACCACATTTTCTTTAGCCATTCATCTGTTGAAGGGTACCTAGGTTGGTTCCATAGTTTATCTATTGTGAATTGAGCTGCTATATACATTGAAGTGGCTGTGTCATTATAGTATGCTGATTTTAAGTCCTTTGAATATATACCAAGGAGTGTGATAACTAAGTCAAATGATGGTTCCATTCCAAGTTTTCTGATGAATATCTACTGCTTTCCAGAGTGTCTGCACCAATTTGCAGTCCCAACAGCAATGTATGAGTGTACCTTTCTCCCCTCATCCTCACCAATATTTATTATTCCTTGTATTCTTGATAATTGCCTTTCTGACTGGAGTGAGAGGAAACCTCAGTGTGGTTTTAATTTGCATTTCTGTAATTATTGGAGGTGTTCAAAATGTTTTCTTATATTTGTCGACCATTTCTATTTCAACTTCTGTGAAGTGCTTGTTCAGTTCTTTGCCAATTTATTGATTGGATTATTTTTGGGGTTTTTTTTTTTTTTTTTTTTTTTT